CAATGTAAAAAATTTTAAGAAATTAAAAAAAATATTTAGCCACAAAAAAGCCTATGTATTTCTATTTGAATCTGCATAACACATTTCTAGACATATATCACGAGAAATGTACTAGTTGCTTCTAGGAAGCAACATTGGCAGGTATTTTATATCCTTTTATACTGTTGAACTCTTTTCACCACGTGCTTATATTATTTCTAAAAATTTAAAAAACACTAGTTTCAAAATAGAAAGCATCTGATTTTAGTCCTCTGGCTGTGTTATCCTTGACAATTACTCAACCTCTCTGAGCTTGTCTCACCATCATAAAATGGGGGATATTATGTACCTCATAAAGCTAAGATGAGGACTAACTCAGACAACATGCATTAAGCAAGTAACACAGTGCACAAAATAGCCACCCAACAAATGCCATCTCCCCTTCTCGCCAAGAAACCTTGGGAATCCTCTTAATTCAACCTCCTTTTCTTATTGGTAAGAAGACTAAGGCCAAAAAGGTTTAGTGACTTGCCCAAGGTCAAGCTTGTACTAACTAGGGGAGCCAGGCCCCGATGCCTGGGTTCCTGTGCCCTTACATGAAAACTGATTTCAGGGCCAGCCTTGGTGGCCTAGTGATTAAGTTTGGCATGCTCCACTTCAGCGGCTCAGGTTTGGTTCCTGGGTGCAGACCTACACCACTTATCTGTTAGTGGCCATGCTGTGGCAGCAGCTCACATAAAAAGAAAAAAAGAGGGAGACTGGCAACAGATGTTAGCTTAGGGCGAATCTTCCTCAGCAAAAAAAAAAAAAAAAAAGTCTGATTTCATACTAGCCAAGGAATGATTCTGTTACTACCTTATGGCCACACCTCACTTTGCAGGACCGGCCTCCTCCTCCACTGCCTCACTCACCAGACTTGATGAGTCTTGATTTTTCCTAAATGCCAAATCCACCATCAACTGGGGGGTCTTGCCTGGGAAGGCAGCCCCAAGGGGGAGCTCCAAGAACGTCTGGATCAGAGGCAGCACTAACCTCACAAGGGGGCAATAAAGATGGATGTGTGGATGCGTTTTAAAAAATCGCTTGCACCTTACTGCAGCCTTGGCACTCAGGTACCTATCTATGTGTAAACACACACCCCCCACACACATACACCATCCCAACTTCCAGCCCTCTGGTCTGAACACAGCACCCACATTCACTTACGATTGGGAGTTTAAACAAATTTTGTTGAATGAGAAACTCTATGTAGGAACAATGTTTAACAAATGCCCCCTCTTTAGCAGTCTGTGCTTAAGCCAGAGGTTCTCCTTTCAGTGATATTTATACATAAGCCATTTGGGGCACAGTATCCTGGTTAAAATGGAAGGACTTTCAAAATGCTTTGTTAGGGGGATTTGGTGATGGCTGGTCATTTCTTTTTCTGTTTGGATGATTTTCTTCAAAAGAAAGCTTTCCGATGGTTGGGGCTAAGGTTACAGTGCGCTTACCTCCTTTCCTAATTTCATTCAAAGCGTCCATCTATCTTGTCAAGAACAAAAACCAAGGTGTCTTAAACGCCTATAGGAATGATATCTTGGCTCCTACCAAGGGCAGAGGGCAAAGGGAGCCACGCCGAAAAGGATAAGACAGCGCGTCGGAACAGTGGGGGACGGTGTGCATTGACAGATTATTAGATAAGGAGCTTCGACAGCAAAGCATTGGAAGGAATGCGAGAGAGTGATAAATGGAGCCGTGAATCATTAAGACGTTTTCCCTTTCCGTATTCACGCCCTGCATCTGCTTGGAACTTCACAGCTCCAAGTTCTCTCACGTAAATCACAGTTCGCTGCTCATCAACAGCCTGTTAGTCCCCCTCCTGATCTTGTTCCAGTGGCAACGGCCGGCCCGGGGATGAATCATGACTGGTCCAAGTCGGTGGTTCTCAACGTTGGCCGTACAATACAGTCACCTGGGGAGCTTTGCAAACATCCCAACGCTGCGACCCCACCCCAGACCAATTAAATCACACTCTCTGGGGGTGGAACTCATGTACAGACATTTAAAAAAAAGCTCCTCAGGTGCATGCAATGTTCAGCCAGGGCTGGGAATCACTGGTCAAAGCCCAGCATGACGATCCCATTCCTTTTTGCCAATTACCGGGCTAGCGCAGGCCACGTGACCCAGTTCTAGCCAATGAGACACGGAGGGAGGTGGGCTGGGGTAGAGGTTCTGGGAAAGGTTTTATAACCAGATTGAAGGCCAGACATATGAGTGGAAACTCCTCCACCCCTTGCTCACTAACCAGCTTCCTTCCTTTGTGTGTTTTGACAACCCGGTGTAGTTGTTCGAGGAGGCTTGTCCCTGAGGCTACCCTCTTGTGACAGTGGGAAGATAAGTTGGTGAATGAAAGCCAAAAAGATGGAAAAGACCTGGGTCCTTGCTGACTTGGTTCAGGGTGTTGCAGTCCCCACCTAGCCCTGAAAGAAGTGCACTGACCCCCTCCCGCCAAATCCTGGCTGTCAGGTACGGACCATCCAGAAGTTACTCAAGTTAGTTCACGTGTAGCCCCTGAGCCAAGAGCGTGCTCAGGTGCCCCATGCAAAGAACAGCCGTGAGGAGGACAGCTGTAGGGTCCTCGGCTTCCCTGTGTAGGCGCTGTCTGCAGCTCAGGGATATCTTATTGATTTGTTCAGTGGTTGGAACATATTAGTAATAAAGCTAAGTGTGTTTCCCACCCCAGACTAGCCTCTAAGCCTGGCTGGGGTGCCAAAGGTACTGCCAGAGGGTGCTAAGGGGGGCCAGGTAAGGGCGTGTTATAACGGAGAAATTCTGAGCTTCAGGGTCTAACACCAATGCTGCTCCACCCTCACCAGCCCACGTGTGACTTTGGGCAAATTACTTGACTTCTCTGAGTCTCAGATTCCTCATCTGTAAAATTGATAATATGTCAAAATAATGATATATGTACAAAGCCTAATGCCATGCACGACACACGAGGATCCACCCCTTGCCCCTGCCTAGAGTGCGACAGACTTTTGGAAACTCATCAGCGGGTCAGTAATGGTGTCTTTCTAGGAACCAGCAATACAAGCACTTTAATAAACCCGCTGGTTGGTGGTGACATGGTAAGTGCCCAACAATTCCAGCAGAAATTTGGGAGGAAGGGCTCAGTCACCAAAGCATGGAAGAGTCTAAAGTCTGCTCCCAGACGTCCCTGCAGCCCTGCAAAGGAAGCCCCATTGCCTTCCAAACAGCAGCACCGGTGTCTTGCCCCATAGCCACGGTCACCCACACAGACTAACTTCCTGGAGGATGACGACCATGTCCTCTAACCCTCCTCTCTATTCTCTTTCTTGCCTCACCTCAGTCAGTGCTCAGTAGATGCCAGTACAAGTGAAGGGGGAAAAGGGAAAAGTTTCTGGGAGATTGTCAGTTCTTCAAGTCATAAAATGCTGCAGCATTTGTCCCGAAGAGGCGTTCCCTCAGGCCTTTGAAGGGGGTTAGGGACCATTATGTTACTTACATCTGTAAATACAGGATTAGCAGATGAAAGGATGTTTTTGTTAAGATGTGACAAGTCACCCCGCGCCTTACCTTCCTTCACGCTGGAAAGCAGGAAAGAACACAGACTTCCTAGCAATTACAGAAACTGACCAAGAAAACCACTTGATCACTGGGAGAAAAATCAGTCAGCTTCCGAAATCACTCTGAAACCCTGGCTCTACTAACAACAACAAAATCCATCTTCATTAACATCTTCGACTTTGTCCTCAGAGCTTCGGCCCAGGGGAACACTGAATTACAGTATAAAATAATGAATAGAAACTTTAGTCACTTCCGCCCTCCCGGCTCTGCTTTTCCTCCTCCTCTGGACTGCACAGTGCAGAAGGCTGCGCCCTTCCAACCCACACAGTTTGGGGAAATGCATTCCCATGCCACTAACTAGACTCCTAAGGTCAGTATCATGCAAAACAAACAATTCCCTCAGCCCAGCGTACAAGCCAGACACGGGCCCAGACACTGAATGCATTTTGAGATCATTTAAGCCCCATTTTGGCGTCTTAGGATATATGCTTCACAGAGAAAGAACAAAAAAAATTGGGGGGGATGTCTTTTCACCACAGCCAAAGTTGCCACTGCCAATCTAGGGTTCCAGCTCTCAAACGGATGGGGCGGAGTGGGGGAAGCCCCAAGGTCTTGTCGGCACTAGAGGAAGCTGACCAGGCAGCTTTTGTGACCTGATGTGAACGGGATATGGTCATATATCCTGCAAACGCCAGCCTTTTTGTGGGGTGGGGGGAGACGCCACGTGAGCCAGGGGAAAGCAAAGTTCATTCTACACCACTAGACCAGAGCCTGAGACACAGACGTGTAAAAACTGTTGCGAGAGAGGCCTGGCTATGCATTGTATGTTTGGTAACTCAGAAGGAAAGCCCCAGAGTCTGCGCGTCAGAGAGGCAGAGAAGAAATACGAAACAGATTAGAGGTAGGTAGGATAAGGGTCAATAACTTTCCACCAAGCCCTGCTTTTGGCTTTCTCCATGCCCGCAACCACGGCTGCAGAAAGTTTCCCCACAAAACAGATTGGAGTCAAGATAAAGGCACCATCATCAACCTCAAATGGTCCCCGAAATCCTATACCTTTCATGTCAATTCCCAAATTCAAGTTTCATTATGATTTTCAAACCTTCTCTACTCTCCCCAGACTTCTGACATCCCTCTTGCCTCTCCCGCCCGCATCGTTCTCAACAGATGACCCTACCTCCTACTCCATAGAGGGGCCTGGGAGCGCGAAGATCTGGGTTCCGCCTCAGCCATACTTAACCTCTCTCGTCTCCAGGTCCTCCTCTGACCAGGCAGGTGGCTAAGCTGGAGATCCTGATGACTCTCCCAAATTCTACCAGCAGCGCTTTCCCACCTGCTCAGATCTATTCTGGACAGGGTGAGTTCTAGGACAGCATCCCCCCCATGCCCCTGCAGGCTGGTCCAAGCTCCCCGAAGACCCTTCCCTGTCTCCACTTTGCCCGGAGCCACCTTACCCGGATCCGCCCCGGGGTCGCGCGCGGGTCGGGGCTACGTGGCGCCGTCGGCCTCCATCTCCAGTGGCGTCTCCTCGTCCACTGGCGGCTCGGCGTCGCCCTCCTCTCCGCTGCGAGGATAGGACAGCAGACGCATGGCTGGCGCACAGGCGGCTTCCACCTGGCGCACCTGCTCTCGGCTCAGGCGCTCGCGCCAGGCGTGCACGGCCTCGCGGGCGTCCCGCGCCGACAAGTGGAAGGGCCGGTCGGCGCCGTAGGCCGCGCCGCGCGTCATGTTGAGCGCGAAGGCGTCGAGCGCGGCGAGCGCGCGCAGCCCGGCGAAACGCAGCAGGCGGCGCAGCTGGGTGCGCGGCTGCCGCACCAGGTCCTCGTAGCGCAGCCTCAGGTAGCGGCGCCGCAGCCAGGCGGGCGCGCCGCGCGCGAAGAGCAGGTCGCGCAGCCAGGCTTCGCAGATCACCTCGAGCGCACCGGTCAGGAAGAAGTCGGCGCGCGGCGCGGCGGGCAGCGCGCGGGACGGGCCCCCGGGGCGGGCGCCCACGCCGTGCGCCAGCAGCACCCGGTGGAAGCGGTCGCCCCTCTGGCGGGTGCGCAGCACCTGGATGCTCTCGCGCAGCAGCCCCTGCCTAGACTTGAGGCGCGAGTTGTGCACAGCCCGCGGGTCGCGGAAAAGCTGCACCACCTTCAGGTTGAGGCCGGGGTCACGCAGCAGGGGCACCAGCACGCCCAGGTCGAGGAGGCGCACGTCCTTGATGACCACCACCGGGTACTTGCGGCACTCAGCCTCCAGGGCGCGCAGAGCCACTGGTGGGCAGCTGCGCTCGCAGGCGGCGTCCTCGACGAGGCCTACCTCGGCGCGGGCACGGGGCGCGCCAGGGCACAGCGGTGGCGAGCAGATGACCTTGTTGGTCCGCCAGCGAAAGAGGGCGGCCGTGGTGAGATTGGCTGCATCCGAGGCGCGCGCGGCGGGGTCCCCCGGCGGCGCGTACAGCCGCAGCACCGAGAAGTCGCAGCGGAAGAGCGAGCGCAGCATGTCGCGCAGCGCGCCCTGCAGGCTCTCGGCGTCGCCCGGATACAGCGCCTGCCATAGATGCCACATGGGTTCGTACAAGTAGAAAACGTCCGGGTGCTGATTAAAGAGCTCGCCCAGGAACGACGAGCCAGTGCGCCAGGTGGCATGCACATAGATGTGCTGCTTCTCGCGAGACACCGCCTCCCCGACGGCGCCGCTGAGGTTGCCCGGGGACCTGGGGGACTGGCCCGCGCCCCCCTCAGCGGCGGCCCGCGCCTCCGCGCCCTGCTCGCGCTCCCCCGCCGCCGCTGCCTCCAGGCTCCACACTCCCAGGCTGCGCTGCAGGCCCCGGCAGTGCCCGGCGTCCTTGTCCCCGTCGCGGCCGCCGTCCAGTACGGAGGGGACGAGCAGCAGCACCAGCGTGTACAGCACCAACAGCAGCGCGAACTTGCAGTACTCCCGGCGCCGCCGCCGCCGGCCCTTCATCGTTCACCGACCCCCCAGAGCTGGGGTGGGGTGGGGCGCCCGTCCTCTCCCCTTCCTCACAAGTCCCGTCCCGAGTCCGCTCCTCCGGCCTCTTCGGGCCCCGCTGCGCCAGGAGGAGCGGAGCCACCGGGGCTGTGCATCCACAAGGGGAAACTTGGGAGGCGGCGGTGCTAGTGGCGGCGCCCCTGCCCTCTCTCGGCTCAGCCGCTGGAGAGCCGCCTATTGGCGGGCTTGGCAGCCGCCCGCCCCGCCTTCAACCCCGCAGCTTCTCCCCGCCTCTCTACCCGCCCGGGTTCGCCCACGGCTCGGCCAGATCTGGGCGGGGTTGCCGCGGGGTGGGAACGCCTGCTGGGGCTCCCGGAGCCCGACCCCACCTTTCCCCAACCCCTCCGTTATGAAGTCAAGTCTTCCTGAATTGGCTTCAGGCAAGGGAGGGGCTCGTGTGTACAGAGTGTACCCAGTGACGGGACGTGGACCCCACCCGGAGAACTCCTCTGCCTCTTCTGTTTTATGTCCCCTGCCTGGCCATCTCTGTCGTAGGCAGACTTGCGTCCACAGTATTTAGAGCGGGGCCCCTGGTCACCATCTGCATCCAGCAACCCCATCAGCCTCGGGATGGGTGTTATGAGTTCTGGATGGAGAACTTCTCCACTAAGATGAAGACACTCGGGTGCGCATCGCATGGTGGTCCAGGGGCATTGGAGGCGGCATTCACTGCATTCACGCAGCGCATTTAACTGTTAATGTGTAGCCTTCGTGAAATTTTGAGTGTTGTGTTCCTTAGGGCTTCGCCCGCTGATGGCTGTGCACATTTTACAGACACCTTGAAGATCAGTTTACTCATCTGTAAAATGCGGATAATGTCTACTGCCTCCGTACCTCCTGGCGTTGTAAGATTTGGGGGTCATTTGTTGCCAAAGCATAACCTTGCCTGTTCTGACACGTAAGCCAAAGACGTTTACAGAATCAGAGTGGTGGGAAGGTGCAGTTTCTCAGGAGCTCAGTGTTTAGAGGAACCCACAAGGAGGGAGATGTACTCAAGGATGGATGAAAAAGTGACAGGAAGTCCAAGAGGCAGATTCAACTTGGAGTTCCTGAAATCTAAGAGAACTCGAAAGGACAATTTTTGCTCTATTTCAGCAGGGTAATGAACGAGAGAAGGAGAGCTTCCTCTCACCCCCTTGGGGAAGGTGTTGTAGGGTTCATGGAAGATAAAAACAAATCTACTCATCTCCACCAGGGGAAGGTGTTCAAAATGGAGAAGTGAGAACATCTCCAAAGATCTTCTCCTCTGGTCTTTTTCATCACAGAAACTACTCCACCTCTGCAATCATCAGCTCCAGCGTCCTGCTCTCTGTCCACAGCTCCCTTGCCCTTCAGCCACGTGTTCAAATCCTCTGTTCTCCAGCCCCTTGACCACCACCCCCACTTTCTTCTCAATTTTTCATATTCAGCTAAGAGACCTCAGACCGTTATTTGAATAACACTTCTGCCAATAACCTGAACTCCCTGGCCCTCTGTCTTTTCGCTACTCATTTAGCAAAACCCCCAACCCTGCTTTTGGCTTTCTCTGTGCCAAAACACTGTTGCAAAAGTTTCCCCACAGGACAGATTGGCATCAAGATAAAGTCATAATCCTCAGCCTCAAATGGTCCCCCAAATCCTACCCTTTTCATGTCAATTTCCAGTCTCAAGTTCAATTATGACTATTTCAAACCTTCTCTGAGGAGGGATCTCCTCTCAGATCTCTGATACCCCTATTTGCACTCCATCCCCCCTATTCTCAACAGATGACCTTACCTCCCACTTCATAGAGAAAATGAAACTATGTTAGCCAGTCTTTCGCTTTTCCTCTACCAGACCCATATACCCACTTACCTCTGTACCCATCTTCTCCTTTGTGGCAAGGACATTATTTTCCAATATTAATCTATGACTTTTTCCTTCCCTCTGGTTTTACTTTTCCCTCCTTTCCTCTTTTTTTTTTTTTTTAAGATTTTCTTTTTTTCCTTTTTCTCCCCAAAGCCCCCCGGTACATAGTTGTATATTCTTCGTTCTGGGTCCTTCTAGTTGTGGCATGTGGGACGCCACCTCAGTGTGGTTTGATGAGCAGTGCCATGTCCGCGCCCAGGATTCGAACTGACGAAACAGTGGGCCGCCTGCGCGCGAACTTAACCACTCGGCCCGGGGCCAGCCCCCCTCCTTTCCTCTTTTAAGCAAATGAGTGGCTCTGCACTCACCTGAGGGGAGGGATATGGCTGGGCAGAATGCAAAAGGTCACTGGTTTTTCTTTCCAAAAGCCTAAACTTCAGTAGTAGAGAGTGTGGTAGGTTTTTAAAATAACCACAAAGTTTTGCCCTGTCTCTCCACGCCCTTTGGCATTGCCTACCCACACTGACTCTGGGGTGGCCTTGTGACTTGCACTGGTCAATGGGACAGTAGCAAACATGACACAGAGGCTTGAAAAATTTTTCCACTGTGGGGACTGTGATGTTGATGCCATTGGGAAGCCTGAGGTTGTCATGTGAAGAAGCCTGGGCTAGCCACATGGATCAGAGCGTAAGCCGGCCCAGCTGAGGCCCCTGAGACCGACCAGCCCACCTACCGCCACACAGGTAAGAGAGGCTATCCCAGACCAGTGCTTCTCAAACTTTCATGTATACATAAACCCCCGGGGATCTTGTCAAAATGCGGAAACTGATTCGTTAGGCCTAGGGTGGGGCGAGAGAGTCTACATTTCTAATAAGCTCCTGGGTGTTGCTGATCTGAGGACCACACTTTTGAATAGAAAGATGCTACATGCTCCAGCCTAAATCAAAGAACCACCTACCTGACCCACAGAATTGTGAGAAATAACAGATGTGTGTTGTAAGATACCGGGGTTTTGGGGTGTTTTTGTTTGGGGTTTTTTTTTTGGTGAGGAAGATTGGCCCTGAGCTAACATCTGTTTGGGGGGTTGTTATGCAGTAAAAGCTAGCTGATACAGAGAAGGAGTGAGGGCTTAGGCGAACTGTCTTGGAGAAGCAGGGAAAGGAACAGTGCTCCATTGGCCCCTCCACTAGGCTGGGGGTGGGTGAAGGGAGAGAGAAAGTCTATGGGCCCCACAGTAAAGAGCACCTTATTTCTTCTTCCTGGCAGTGTGTCAGGGAAGAGCAGGACTCAAGGAGGAGTGGCCGTATGGTTCATCTTTATAGAGATGATCAGAGGCACTGTCCCAAACCTTCCTGGGCCCCAGGCACAGCTTGGAGGCAGCAGAAAGGTCACAGAGACAATGATGGTGACATCTCAGGGGCAACTATGTGGACAAAACCCAATGATCCTAAGACCCCAGATCAACAGTACAGCCCTGAGAGTAGAGGAACCCTAGGAATTGCCTGGGTAAATCGTCACCCCCACAGAAAGAGAGCTTGTCCAGAAATAAAGTTGTTTTCTGTAAGGTGATTTCCATCACATCTAAGTTAGTGAAACTGCTACCCCCTTTTTTCTTTCTGGTACAGTAGAGCAGGCCTCAGTGCCCCAGTCAATCACCACTCCTCCCTCCTGTTAATTCAACCACACCCTCTCAACCAGATTATTCTCACCAATGTGAGAATTAAACATAGTTAAATCTCTCTCTCTCTCTTGTTTTTTTTAAGTCCCATTGATTCACATCCTCCTCTAGCACAGCTGCTGCTGACACAGCACCTTTATGGGAATCAGAAGGTTCCCGCTTCCAGACAGATGAGTTGCAAAAAGGGGGTTGACTACATTGAAAAGAGTACTCCTTCCTTCAGGCCACAGCCCCAGGCCAAAGTGTACAGCTGGAATGCGGAGCCTGGCTCGGTTCCAGCCTGTGCTTGCATCCTTCTGCCAGGCGCCCCCGCCACACCCATGTCCTGCTGCCACTGGTTTCTCCACCCGTTCCTCTCAGCCCGGCTCCTGGGTGGAGTTGTCCATACTTGTTCTCTCCCAGCTCTCATCTGCTCATTCATCAGCATGCTCCAGTCTGGATCCCACCCCCATGCTGCTACATAAACAGCTCTTTCTAAGCTTATCAATGGCTTCCACGTCATTGAATCCAGAGGACATTTTCATGTCTCACTTTATTTGATCTTTCAATAGCATTTAACGCTGATGACAGTTCCCACCTTCGAACTCTCTCTTCTTTCAACTTCTGTGACATCACACCTGCCCGGTTCTCCTCCCATTTCATAGCTGCACCTTCAAAGCACAGCGTCCGGGAGACTGGGCTCTGTAAAACAGTGATCCTAAAAATACCTCCCTGCAGGGTTATTGTAAGAAGTAAATTTTATAATATAGATAGATAAATAGATAGATACAACAACAGTGCATGACATGGAGTAAGCTTCGAGTATTAGGAGTTAGAGTCATTGTTGCTGTTGTGTGAAGCTCATCCTCCTCCGCCTGGTCATTCCGTGTTAGAATGTTCGCATTCCTTCAGGCTCAGCCATAGGCCCTCTTCCTTCTCACTCTATGGTCTCTTCAATAGTCCCAGATCAACATTTCCAGCCCAGACCTCTCCAGACCTAGAAATCCAGTTGCCTACTTGACATGCCCTCTTGGTTGTCTCAAGGTCGTCTCAGTGTTAGTATGTGAATGGGAAAACCACCTGTTCTATGATGCAATCAGAAATTTAGGAGTTGGTCTCGGCGCTTCCCTCTTCCTCAGCCCTCCTTCCTCAATCTGATCCATTGCCAAGCTGGGTGAGTTTTACCTCATCATATCCCTTTATTCCATTCACTTCTCCTCGTTGCCACAGCTGCCACCCTAGCCCAGGTCACTCTCTGTCCCCTGGAACACTGTAAAAACTGATTAGCTGGTCTCTGTTTCCACTCTGCCCTCCTCTGATTTTGAATCAGTGATTTATTCCAGTCATGTCACTCCTCTGCGTGGAATCTGTCATGGCTTCCAATTGGTTTTTGGATAAAGACTCAAATCCTTAAGGCTTGTAAATTGTGTTGTTAGGGGTCTTGAATGCCAGAGCTTATCATGGTGTCAAGCACATGGTAGATGGTCAGTAAGTATCTGCTGTCTGATCGACTGCTGGCAGGAAGTACTTTTACATTTAGTCTGTGAAAGCAAACGACTGGCTATTTTTACTGAGGGCGTAAGTAATATTAGCAGAAGTGACTTTCTAAAAATAGTCTTGCTGGAGTCCAGTGGATTGAGATGGAGGCAGGAAGACCTTTTGGGACAGAAGGAGAGGAGAATGTGAAGTAGATGGCAGGAGGAAAGGAAGGGATGGAGAGAGGCTGGGAGGGCAAAGTCTGCAGGCTTGGCTGAAGACAAAATGAGACCAGGAGTTTGGGCTGGGAAAAAGAAAAAGATTATTCCTTTTGATTCATTTCTTCTGGCACCTTTTCTCTTTTTCATGAGGTTTCTAACATTATAAACAGGGATGCTAAAATCGCATCTCT